ACTACTACTACTCTACTGCTACTACTACTACTACTACTACTACTACTACTACTACTACTACTACTACTACTACTACTACTACTACTACTACTACTACTACTACTACTACTACTACTACTACTACTACCACGGCTACTAATACTACTACGACGACGACTACTACTACTACTACGACTACTACTACTACTACTACTACTACTACTACTACTACTTATTCTTATTAGTATACTGCTTCTCCTCCTCCTCCTCCTCCTCCCCCATGTTTCTTCTCCTCCTCCTCCTCTTCGTCCTCCTCCCCCTCCTCCTGCTTCTCCTTCTCCTCCTCCTCCTCATTCTCCTCCTCCACCTCCGCCTCCTCCTCCTTTCCGGGATGCATCGACAGGGACACAACTCGGGGGGGAGAATATGCCAGGTTCGAGGTTCGAGGTTTTCGGGCGTTTCCTGCAGAGCTCACCAGTTTTCCAGCCTCGGGATGGTCCAGGAGTGCCCAGGTCGTCCCGAACGGCCGCCTGAGTCCCGAGTTAATTATGGCCCGAACCCCTGCGGGGGGCACCGTCCGTGGACAGCACCATGGGCTCCACGGACTTCGGACTCATTTTGCGTGACCGGCGCGGGGACGTTATTCCGGGGCATCATGCCCAGATGCTATGTGCTTAGTTGACAGAAATACCGCAGAAACGCAGGCACGCAGCTGTATAGCCATCAGGCCAAACGCTGCACGGACAGCCGTGCCTTGCGACGCAGCACCCGCAGTATCACCGTCGCAGAAAAGCACCCACCAGGGTGTTGGCCACATTCTTGTTCCGTGCCCCGGCGCTCCTCGGGCGTGCCATGGGCGCCGTTCGGGCGTGGGGGAGTCTGACGCTGCAGCCAGGGCCATGTCAAAGTCCTCAAGCCCCGGGAGGGGGCCCTTGGTAACGCTTGGGCACTATCGTCGAGGCATTGGTGCGTGTTGTGGTGGGGCGCGCCGTCATGTCCCGCGACGGCCTCGTGGTGTGTTCGCGGCGGAGTCGTGGTGCGCCGCAAGTCTTGTATCCAGCAGCTAGGGTGTGGGACTTTAGCAAGCTCCATCTGATCGTCCAGGTTGTCCTGCTGACCACGGCGGCAATCCCTCCAAGCAAAGTGTCGGCTCTCGAGTCGACCCAAAGCCGCTCGTGGTGCACTCGTACAATTTCCTCGGGTTGCTCGCGGGCATGTTGCGTTTTGACAATCAGCAGTGTCAGGTGACACAACAAATTCAAGTTTGCACCAGGCTGGGCCGCTGCGGGCTCGTTTTCTCAGCCTGGAGCAGTACGAAAGCGTGCTTACAGAGCACACTCTTCTACGCGCAGGGTCTGGCTGGCTCGTTACAGGAGGGCGGCGACTTCCCTGCACAGGTGCGGTGTATGAGCTGATCATCGCCAATCAGGAGGCCTATCCGGAGTCAGGTGACCTCCTTCAACGTACACCGCACAATTATGGCCCGAAAACTCATGGGGACGGGGATGGGCTCAGGTGGGACGCATCGACCCCCAATCGCCCGGCCATCGCCTCGGGAGTTCGTCGTCGCCGATCCATCGCGCCGATCCCAGTTCGATGTTTCCCACCCCTGAGCTGGCCTTGGAAGGCCCTGGGAGGGCCCCGGGAGCGCATAGGGAGGGCCCCCAGGAGGGCCCCCAGGAGGGCCCCCAAGAGCGCCCCGGGAGCGCCCCGAGAGGGCCCCGGGAGCGCCAGGGGAAGGCAACGGGAGCGCCCTGGGCGAGCAGCGGCGCTCCCCCCCCCCCTCGAGGAAGCGCGGCGCAGGAGCGGGGGGCGAGGGTCGGTGGGGCTGGCAGGGGCGACGGGGAGGGCAGGGTCCGATTCGGGACCGCTTCCGGCTGGCCCGGCCCGATCCGATGCCGATGTTCCGACGACCCGATGCGCCCCGCTGTCCGCACGGCGCGGTCGGCCATCCTGGCGCACCCGATCCCACTCGATTCCGACCCCGTGCCAGCGCAGCCCGATCCGACGCACATCTCCATCCGATCGGAGTGCCCGATGCGGTGATCCGGCTGCTCATGGGCGGGAGGGGCGAGGGATCGAGCGCTGCCAGAAGTGGCCCTCGTCCAGGGTGGCCCCCGCTCTCCCAGAGGGGCGCGGGTCGCTTCCAGAGCACCCCCTCGCGGGACCCCGAGGGCTCCAGAGGCTCCAGAATGGCGCGAAAAGCTGGGAGCACCCGGGGCCAGGACTGCGTCCAGCAACACCCCACGGGAGGGGGCGGGGGGGGGCAAAGAGGGAGGGGAAGTTGAACGTTGATTGATCCTGGAAGTGGGGGAGGTGGAGGAGAGTCGATGATCCTCAGGACCTCCTCCTCCTCCTCCTCCTCCTCCTCCTCCTCCTCCGCCTCCTCCTCCAAGAGAGCGATAGAGAGAGAGAGAGACAGACAGATAGAGAGAGAGATGGAGGGGAGGCTGGACGCTGCTGGAGCGCCGGGGCGCAGACCCGGAGGAGAAGAACGGGGCCCTCGTCCTGCGCCTGCAGGTGGCGGAGCACAGCCTCCAGAGCGCCTGCCTCACCGCGCTCGCCTCGCAGATCCTCTCCCAGCTCGAAGGGAGAGAAAGTCGCCATGCGGTCAGGCACGTCTGGACGGGCTGTCGGAGAAGGGGCCCTGGGACACACAAATAAGTACACGCAAGTAGAAAGATGCCCCATGATATCCTATATCTTCTGGGTTTTTGTCCATCCCACCACTTCCCAAGTTTTCCCATATTTTCTGGGGGATCGACGATTCATTGTGTCTGTGTGTGTTTTTCCCCTCCTGCTGTCGCGCCGCCGGCTCTGGCCTGCCACGCTGTCCGCGCCCCGCCCCCCGAGGCCCCCACGCCCCGAGCAGGGCCCCGACCCCCCGCCCCCGCGGGGCGGCGCGACGCGCTGTCCGCCCGCCGGGCACGGCGCGCCCCGAGCGCTTCCCAGACCCCCTTGGGTAATGAAAAAATCATGACGACCATTTTTCGCTATTTTCGGCCTCGGGGGGCCATCGCCGGGCCTCGGGACTGTCAAAAAACGACTCAGGATGCAAAACCGGTCCAGGGGGATGGGTCGAGACCTCCGGGGGTCGACGCAATGAAAAAATCATGACGTCGGGGGTCTGGGTTCTCGCAGGAGGAGAAAAACACACGGACACAATTGATCGTCGATCCCAAGGAAAATACGGGAAAGTATGGGAAGGTGGGGGGGACGACGAAAGCCCAGAAACTATGAGAAAACATACGGGAATCCTGTTATTCGTGTGTATGTCTTTGTGTGTCCCAGGGCCCCTTCATTCCCGACCTCCCGCGCGCCGCGGAGCGGCGCGACGCGCTGTCCGCCCACGGGGCACAGCGCGCCGCCGAGGGCCGCCGCGGCGACACGCTGAGCAAAGAGACGGGGGTCAATGCGGACGGGGCTCGGCCAGAGCGCCGGATCCTGCAGGATCCTGCAGGGCCAGGGATTCATTGACCTGGGCTTGCCCGCAGGATCACGCAGGAGCTGGAGCAAAGCCTGACTGCCCCGGGTCTGGATGGACCCGGGTCAGTAGACTTGGTGGTCTCCAAACCAGGTGGTGAGACACCCGGTGGTGACCCCGATTCCCCCAAAAAAGAATTCTGGGTCACCACCGGGTTTGGGGACACGCGATCGCCACGAGGTTTTGCGTTTCCTGGGCCAGCCAGCGCTCGAAAACCATTACCCAAATCGCCCAAAACTCACCACCGGGTGTTCTCACCACCACGTTTGGGGACCACCAATAGACCCCCGATGAGCAGAAGTCCCCCACGGTAGACAGAAATTATCGGAGGTCCGCGCGGATTTCTCGGATCGGCGCTGGGCCCCCCCCGGCGCGCGTCCTCTCGGCAGGGAGGAGCTCCCCGCGCGGGCCCCCGCAAAGTCGTGCGCCGCGTGCCGACGTTGCCTCTTCGCCCGGCGCTTCTTCGACGAGCTGCGGACGAAGCAGCAGCTGGGCTACATGCGGCGGCGAGCGAGGGGGGGAAAGCGAGAAGGAGAGAGCTTTTCTCGGATGCCCTCGCGCCTTTTGAGCAGTGCCCTGTGCCTTCGGGGAGGGCAGGAGAGCTTCTCAGATGCCCTCGCGCCTTTTGAGCAGTGTCCTGTGCCTTCGGGGAGGGCAGGAGAGCTTCTCAGATGCCCTCGCGCCTTTTGAGCAGTGTCCCTGTGCCTTCGGGGAGGGCTCGGGAACTTGCTGCACACGGCCGGGGGACTTCCCGAGCCCACTCAGACGGCCCGCCCCGTCTCGCTTCCCCCCCGGGGCTCGCCGCCGATACATCGTGTCTTCGTCCTCGTACAGCGAGAGGCACGCCTTCGACGGGCTGCGGTTCTCGGACCGCGACGAAGACCCCGGCGCCCGCCGCCTCTTCCAGAACCGCCAGATCTCAGAGATCTTCTCCTGCCCGCTTCCCCCCCCCTCGCCCGACGCCGAGAGGAGCTGGGGACCCCCTGGGCCAGGGACCGCTTCTGCCCCCGCCCCCCCCCTCTCCTCCCTTTTGGCAGGTTTGTCGTCCAGTCGGAGAGGCACCCCTCGTTTGTGCTGCGGCGCGTGCGCGAGTGGGTCGAGGGCGCGTGGGGGTACCTGGAGGCGGAGCTCGCCGACGAGGACAGGCATGCCACGATGGGGGGGAAGTGTGCGCCTTACCCTCACGTCGGGCCCGTTCCTCTACAGGAGGCATGTTGAAGAGTAGTCAAGACAAGCTATCTGGGGACATGTTCGTGCTCTTTGGACTAAATTTGATTACGTATTGACTCTTTCGATTCTTCCGTGTTGTTGATTGTTTTTGATGAATGTTTGATGTTCTTCCAAAAGACGCTGGTAGGAGGGCATGCCCGACCCAATTTTGCCCCTCCTGGGGGCCCATCGAATTCGACGCCCCCCTCTCTCGAGAGATCGTCGGCACTGATTTACCGGGGGAGGCGAGGGTCTCTCGAGAGATCCTTCGCCTCTCTCTCTCCCTCTCTCTCTCTCTCTCTCTCGAGAGAGAGAGAGAGAGAGAGAGAGGCGAGGGATCTCGTCGACGTCCCCCTCTCTCGAGAGATCCCTCGCCTCTCCCCCCGGGGAGGCGAGGGTCGAGCAGGGGATCGACGACAGCACTGATTTTACCCCAAGCTTGACAGCGCCGCCGAGCATACCACAAACGCGCGTAAGGGTAACAGATCTACGAGCACTCTACGCATGACGAAAAAAAACAGTAATTCTGGGGTGAATCGATTCTGGAGTCGATCCCCTCCCTACTCGAGAAGGTAAGAACAACGGCTCCCCCAATTGTGGCTGGTCGGTGAGGAGTTCCAGGAGTACCGCGCCGCGCTCGTGGCGCAGGTGCAGGACCTGGTGCGGGCGAAACGGGCACGGAGATTGTCGGAGGCGTCCAAGAGGGGGTGTTGCGGGCTAACGGGGGGAATGGCATTGCCGGACCATGATATCTCCGCGGCTGTCATGCCTTCCTCTTCTGATCCTTCCGTTTTTGTTTCTTCGTCTGATTCTTAATATTGTGATTATTAGTATGATTGGTATTAGTATTGTTGATAGCATGGTTAGTAGCACTGTGATGTTATTCGTATATACCATATTATCATTCGTATGGATTATTCATATGAGTAGTAGTGATAGTAGTAGTAGTAGTAGTAGTAGTAGTAGTAGTAGTAGTAGTAGTAGTAGTAGTAGTAGTAGTAGTAGTAGTAGTAGTAGTAGTACTACTAC